AACGAGTAAAGTTCAGCATGACATGACATAATTTTACAATATAGGAATCAGACACCATTTACTGAAGTTACTCAAGCAAAAAATTAAATCAAATCACCGAAGTAAGAGATTGCATAACATCGGCTGAGGTCATCTGCTTATCTATGATCGTGGTGTATACGCTAGATATTACTTTGATTTACGACTCGATAAGCAAAGTACTCGAAGGAATGTGCCCAATATGATTCCACAATGCGCAGATATTGCTTCTCACTACAGTGGTATTTATAGACCAAATTGAAAGCACTTTGTCACTGAAAGGGTACGATTAATACCTTTTAAAGTATGTCGAGGCCCTAGGGTCTGGCATTACCAGTGGCCCGCAGAATAAACAGCCGCGGACATCAAACAACTGGAACCTTGCTATGTTGATGGCAATAGCCCCACCCATTCCCACTCCCCAAATAAACACCGGCGTATCCTTATGCGTGGACACCGTCGTCTCAATGAACTGTACGAGGTCTTTCGCATATGTGCTGTTGGAACAACGGTTGAGCGAAAAATACATGAATCAAATGCAGACAATAGTATACATACTCTATGCAATACGCTTAGCTATTTAAAACGATAAATGATATCGATATATGCATTTGTACATTGTAAACTCAATGAAATAGAAGTATTGCTGTAAGCTGTAGTTGACTCGTAATCCAATTAAACCATTTAAAACGACAGCATGACAAATATACAATCTTACCTGAAGAGTGCGATATCCCCTCGATCACCTTTACTTCTTCCATGACCCTGATGATCGTTTCCCATGACCATGATTCCCCGAGATGTGAATCTTTCTACATGTCTCGCGTATCTTCCAATATGCTCGCCAAAACCATGTGCGATAAAGACTAATGCTCTGTGTATGTACAAAATAGGCAAGAATATTAACTACGGTTGGAAAGAAAATCAGTGATTCGACCGCGACAAGGCCACGATCTTGCAATACAAACATCTACCGGTAGAAGAATATATTTAAACAGAGTTTTGGCTTACAGTGCGGATCTTTGGAGATGTAAACGCGCCCAGAAGCTAAAATAAATAAATACGTGACCATACCTCGGACTCTGGACCGGGGGCCATTGGCACGTGTAGATTTGATTGCCATTTACATTGCTGTTGAATGTACCTTCAATGCAAGATAATCGTTTCAGCTGCGTACGAACCAGATATAGAATATTGTTAGTTTCAGCATAGAACGATTGCATATTTTAAAGCTTTTTTTTATGAGATACAATCCGCGACCGTGTTTCAATTTCAGAATTTCTTGATCGAGGTATAATCCATGCACGTGACCCGACAAAAAAATGGTGGTGTACCAAACAGTAGCAACCTGTGGCTACCGCAGCAAAACTATCGATACACTTTCACAAATAATTCATCCACACCTTGGCCTGCTCGTAAAGAGGTTGCTGATCTGCTTTCCTCATGTGGAGTTTTTGAATTGCGCGGGTATGGCTACTGACGCGCCTGCGCACAGCATTTGATTTTTGTTTCGAATTTCCCTCGGACAATTCTTCCAGACTTTTATTCGTTTCCACATCCTTCACAGTGGATATGAGCAGGTCAGAAAAAGATTGGTTTATTGACCGTCTACAGCCAGCTCAGACTAAATTAAATCTCTTACAAATAATTTGTTAATGTATGGAATGCTGATAGAACCATAGACCACTCTTATCTTCTCGTATTCTCATTCAATAGATGATATGAATTAACAATGTAGGCGTGCAATTTCAAATCGGTCAACAACCGAGAGAATCGGGCAGATCCTATTTCGCGATACGTTATGGCTCATGCACATCCATTGATGAAATCGAAAAACATACATATCCACCATATATATATATATATATATATATATATATATATATATAATGTATATGTATATAACCATTGGGTGTCAACAGCGTAAACATAGCTTCCTTGTATTCACGAAGCCACGAATTCTTTGCGTTGATGCACATAATACCATACATAAATCCAATATTGTGTCCTAATTACCGGGTTTGACAGCCCTGTCCGTGAGGCGAAGGGTAGGGGAGATCCGGCAGCACTACCCGTAAAAGAGGTACGGGGCGTAGGATCATGGCATGTGCCATTACTCCCTGAGCTCGACGCACTAGCTATCGTATTCTTCAATGATTGTGCTTTGAATGCTTCCTGCAAACCGTCTATACCGCTTTCAGCTCTTGTCTGAGCAGGTGATGCACTTGAACTTGTAATACCACCCGGGTTGGAGGATATCTCATCTTTCAGGAAATCAATTGATTGTATTCTGAGGAGTAAACGAGGTATAAATATATATAAATGCTAAAAAGCCTATCCAAGTATTTATAAAGCAGAGACACAGCATGCTAATATACACTAAACCACATTGATAAATCAATATCAAATAAAGCCAGAGAGGCAGCATAGGCTAAAATATCAATTGTCATCGATGTGAATTAAAAGAGGATAGATGCGCTGGCAAGAAGACACAAATTCATAAGTAAAGAATCACATTCTAATTTGAAGCTATGAGAATAGATGTGAACCTATTTCAGGTCAATCACACACAAAAAAGTACAAAGCGATTAAGCCTTATCACAAACACGATGCCGATTAGATTTTTTGTACAAAACATTGTTTTTTAGACCGCTTAACAAAGCCAATTCGTATACGATATTAAACATGTGTACATAGTTATCAAGTACGATACGGATATATATGCGAGCTGAGTGTAAACCCACTATTTCAAGACTATATGGATGACATTGACGGCGGATGACAAAGAAAAATACATGTATTGAAGACAAAAAAAGGATACATGT